TGATACAGACTGTGGGTAGATCTATGGGAGAAGACTAAATGTAAAGTGGGGACTCTTTTTATCATGCCTTAATACCCACCAGAGAGCATCCACCAGCACTTCAAGTGGTATTAAGCAACCAGGTAGAGGCAATGAGCTACCCAGATGATGTCAGCTGGCCACAGTGTTAGCAGATGGACATATGAATGAAGTGGCAAAAGCAGCAGAAAGAGAAGCTATATTTGGGGTCAACTGCATTGCCGCTGAATGTCCAATCTGCCAGCCACAGAGATTAGCACTGAATCTCTGATACGACATCATTCCTCCAGAAGACCAACCAGGCACTTTGTGGCAAGCTGACTACCCCAGGAAACGGGGATGGAGGAAGTGATTTCTTTTGGCTAAACTTTTGACTACTTTTCCTTTTCTGACTGCAGAGCCTTAGCTAATGCCACTGTCCAAGGACTTACACAGTGTTCGATCCACCAACATGGAATATCACCTAACATTTCATCAAACTAAAGGAGAAACTCTACGACAAGGCAAAGGAATGGAAAACAAAGAAGACACAAAAGCCGGCTTGTGATCTTGGGATCAACCGGTGGCCTTGTGTACCATATCACTCAAAAACTGCACACCCAACCTAACACAATATCATGATTTGTTGCTGCCATGCTAAGACCAAGCCTGGAGGTAATATGTAAAAATTGACATTGCCTCTAACACAGGGTAAATACTAACCCAACAAGTGCTGTCCATACCATAACCCTAACAGGCAGAACACACAGGGCTGGGAATTCACAGGCTTCAGGAGGAGTGACTCAGCTTATCATCAAGATCCACTTTTGGAACCTGCCCGCCCTGTTCCCCCAGGGTTCTACAAGGCTAGAGGTCCGGGTCTCTTGGCGGGATGGAGGATGGAACACTGCTACCAGGGGGCAGAGCAGGAATACCATTAAGCTGCAGGTGGGCACGTCAAATTTCTCATGCCAGGTGAAGAGTAGCTGCTATCTTGGCAGGGGAGCATGACCCTGCTGATTAGGAGGAGACAGCGCTGCTGTTACACAGTGGGCAAAGGGAGGAGGATGCGGGGCACACAAGTGGTCTCCGTGAACATCTGTTGGTACAACTTGCTCAGCTTTGATGGCAAATGGACATGTGCAGCTGTCACAGCTTGAGAAGGCAATGGGGACTAAAGGCTTAGGGATCCCTTGAGGATGAAGGAATGGATCATCCATCAAATAAGCTACTGAGACCAATAGAAGTACTAGCTGAGGGTGAAGGTCTGCTTCCAGGGAAGTGTAAGAAAAGAAGTCACAGTATGAAACAGTTTATGTAATCTACTACATATATACTTACATAATAACCCCATGTCACATATGTAATGTATATTATGTAAGATACATTATGTTATAGGGCAAATATAACAGAATATAGGGTGTGGCCTTATGTAACACATATATAATATAATTATGTGGTATGCATATGTACCTAGAAAGTATAATAGTAGTGTGCATACACAACTGGGATGAACATTCCAATAAATAACAGCCTTTGTCATGCACAGTGCAGTCTTATATTTACTGTTCGATTTTATTCCCGTCTATGAAGACTAACATACATATACTTACTACGTTCAATGGGCTCAGTTGTTTTCCAGTTTCATTGCAACCACCCCATGAAGAAAATGAAATGCTCGTGACAAGCCAGCAAGTGATTCGTGATTTGAAAAACAGATGAAATGACTTCTAAAAGGGGGTGATGAGTCTCAACTCTGAATGCACAGCTTTAAACTATGGAGGAAGCGAGATGCAGGAAGGAAGGTGGGTGGAGAAGTTGGGTGAGAAAAGTGTCTGATTCTACTTAGGTATGCACCCTGTGGTGGGACCTCTTTACACCAGGCTGAAATCCCTGTGTGTCTGAGTGTCTGTGAGCTGCCCACCCGGGGCCTGGCATCCACAGGCTCCCGTCCTTGTTTATCTCACCTCACACAGGGCAGGCGCTGATATAATGACCTACTGGATGGACTGCAAGAAAACACCAGAGGGGTTCCTGGGATTAAAGGTGGACTTTTGGGACGCAGAAGGGGAAGGAAACCTTTCACAGGATTCAACAGGTGCTCAGTAAATGCTTTTTGGACCGGTTTGAACAAAATGAAAAACGTTAGAGCTAAGATTATGGCAAGGAGATGAGACATGTCCAGAGTTCACCAAACCGGAGTGAGTGTGAAACGCGGTTCAAATAGAATTTTATTTGGGGGCAGAAAATTATGAAATCCATGCCGAGTTTTTCCATAACATCCATTTCCCAAGAGCTTTCTGAAGCACTCTCACATGCATGGATGTCAACATTTTTTCCATTAACTTTCTGAAGGATCCTCATAAACACTTCATGAGATGAAGGAAAAGTGCAGGGGGAAAAAAAAACCTTCTGGGAAGGCCAGAGAGGAAAAGGGGAGTCTAAAGGAGGGTGATTATCAATATTCAGTAGGGTCTTCAAATTTGCTAAGTTCACCAGAGCAGATTTAACCTGGAAAATATCACCTCGATGAGTGGCTGTTGGCAAAGGCATGTACTCACTACATGCTTCACAGACAGATGGAGACAGGAGTGGAAGAAGCTTGTGGCAGGGGATGTGGTTGTTTGAACATAAGACCTTAATAGATCAACACGTGTTTTCATGAATAATCGGGTGAAAGGGGCAGCTAAGGAGATGGTTATTAAATGGGTGAGAGACGGGTCACGTGAAAGGCAGGAGGGAGATTGGTGAAGGGGAATTCATGCTATAAGGGGAGGAGGAGGTGAAAAGGCATTGAATGTGGGGTCCCAGTAGTATATAAGTGGTTATTAAATGATCGCATGGTTGAATGGGGGGAAAGGTATAGAAAAGCCAGCTGGTGGGATCAAAAGGAAAGGGAGCTGAGTAGGTGTTCTTCCTGGTATATAGTACTGCTTGATAAATGCCCCCCCCACTCTGGCCCATGGAAGGTATTGCAATAAATATAAGTATGAGGGATTGTCAGAAAATTCATGGAAGATGTATATTTTAAGAAAACTACACATGGATTTCAAGAGTTTTCCTTTCTGTCAAAATAAACATGAACATTTTGAAATACACTTGTACTGTGGCATGACTAAGTGACTCTGGACAGAGAGAAAGGTCACTTGGTAAAGGCTTCTGGGGGAGGAGTGATCTGACCAGTAAACAGCCAGCACTCAATACACTTAGGCTGAAGCAGACCCATGGAGGAGGCAAGGGCAGAATTCCAGACACTTGAGGAAAGGGGGTTGAAAATGACTCATACTGTGTGTGCCCAATAAGTGTTTACTGGCTTAAATAGATTAAAAGCTCACTAAGTAGGGACTGGATGCTATGAGAGGGAATTCTAGGGGTACTGAAGTCAGTGGGAAAGGGAGCAAAGCTTATAAATTGGGCTCTGGCTTTACCATTTGAAAGGACCCTGGAGAAAGGCCTTAGGATTGGGGTGGTTCTCCTGGGCAATGAATGGCAGTGGACACTTATTGATTTCTCTGGAAGCAAAGGACTTTGTGAGGAGGTGTGAGCACTCCATATACGCTCATGGAAGCTACTGGAAAAAAAAAAAGGCTCTTGGAGGTGGACGACATTAGATATGGGGACATGCAATCAATTGCTAAATGGTTACTAGGGTCCTTGGAGGAGAACTGTTTTGGGGAAGGAGAATGGTGATGTAGATTATAAGCTTGCATCTCCATCATGACAGGAAAGGCTTCTGTAGAGAAGACATAGAACAGGTAATTCTGTAAGTCCTCCCAAGAATGACTAAAACAAGAGATCTCTGTGAAGGGTGATTGAAATGGTGCACACAGAAAATGCTAGATATTTGAGCACTGGAGTAAATGGAGGCAGAGGCTTTTACAGGCAGATCTGAGGTAGAGTCCTACAGACAAGTGCTCAATGAGGCTGACTCAATTCACTGGAGGAAAAGGCATTGGGGGAAAGGGCTCGAGGATGCAGGATACAGCAGGCAGTCAATATTTGCTTGCTGAATATTCAATCATTGGAAGAAAAACTCTTTAGAGAAGAGTCACATCACAGGCACTGAATCAATGCTGGAGGCACCCACCAAAGAGAAGGCATTTGCAGGGGACACTCAATAAATTCTTTCTACATCCACTGCAGGGAAAGGTCTTTGAGCACAGTCTGATGATGAGTCACACAGAGAAGGCTCAAAAACACTCATGGATATCACTGGAGAAAAATAATTTGCCTGAGAAGAGATTTTGGGATGAGCAAACCTCAACCTTCCTTTAGAAAAAGAGGTCTTCTGGGAGAGGGCCTGGAATGTGTGTGTGGGGGCACCCAGAAGGTATTCGGCAAGACTCCTGGGATCCATTAAAGAGACAGTTTCTGGTGAGAAGCTGGATACTCAATCAACGTTTACTGAATAGTTTCCAAGGGTCTTTGGGGAGGGGGCTGGCGTGGGACACATAGCACAGATGGATGCACGCTCATAAGATCCATTGGAGACAGGCCTGAGGGCAACAGGACGGAAATCAGGCTTTCAAAACATACTCACAAAATTGAAGTTAAGGCCTTCGGGAAGGATAAGAATTCATCTATGAAGCATAGGGCAAGCATTTGATTTAAAAAAGAAAAAAAAAAAGCTCCTAAGATACATTCGAGGTCAAGGGCCTTTGAGGGCAAGGGTTGTGTGTATGTGTGTGTGGGGGGGCGCGTCAGGGTACATTCAGTTCTTGAAGTTCATAAGATATATTGAAGCTAAAGTATTTAGGGGAGGTGGATTGGGGAAGAAGTATACAGCAGTGCCCAATACACAACTCCTCCCTGTATCCATGGAGGAGGTTAGGTGACAAGGGTAGGGGTACACTGGAAGCCCCCAGCGTAACGATTCAGAGGAGCAGAATTTGGGCAAAAGGGGCAGGTATCAGATGCACAAGTGGCACTCAGTAATTGCTCATTCACCGCGGAATTATATGGGAACCCAGGCCCTCGGGGAGACGTCCGCGGCAATGGCTTACCAGTCGGTGTGGGGCTCATCGATGACCAGCAGCACCCTGGCGGCGGCGCCCCCGCGGCCTGCGCCCCCAGAGCCTCCGCCCACCTGCTCGCTGAAGGTGGCGGCCGCAGCCGCTGTGGTCTGCTTGACCGCGTTGGACAACGACGAGAAGAAACCACCACCTCCTGAGGACCCAGGACTAGGGGCTGCCGGTGAGGCCACTGGGGCGGCCGCGGAGGTTCTCTCGGCAGTGGCAGTCGTGGAACCGGGTGTGGCTCCGGGGCTGGCAGCAGAGGGCGGCGGCGGGGGCGGCTGCGGGCGCTGCAGGTCTGTCATGTACCCATTCGGCAGATTGGCCATGAAGTTGCTGTCCGACAGGCGGCGCCGCAGGTAGTTCATGGCTGCGGCTTGGGGCAGGGGGTCCTAGGGGCAATTTGGCCAGGAGCCGCGGGGGCGGGCCGCGCGGGGCTCAAGAGCACAGCCGCGCTCTCAGGCACGACACGACTCTTCTGCTGCCCGCCGCAGACTGAGGTAGCGCTGACTCGCCGCCGCCGCAGCGCGGATGGTCGCGCCCGTGTCCCCCTATCTCACGCCTCGCATGGTGCAGTCCAGCTTGGCCGGCGGTGGCGAGGACGCGACCAAGGAGGCCAGGAAGGGGAGTTTGCAGAGGAACAGCCAGTGACGTCAGCGCGCCTTCAGTGCTGGGGCGCTGGTGGAGCGCGCCGGCAGGCGGGGGCGAAGGCGCTGTCCGCGGTGCTGAAGCTGGCAGTGCGCACGCGCCACGCCGCATCCTGTTTCCCCTCCCCCGCCTCCAATAGGGGATGCGCAATTTGGGGAGTGGGGGTAGGGTGCTTGTGTGGAGCGTCGTGGTCCGTCGTCTGCTAGGTCACACCATCCCACACCCACTCTCACAGATACCCTCCGTGGACACTCAGTTTCCACTGTTGATATTCACTGCAGAAGGCATTTAGGGAGTGGGAGTGCAGACGCACTTAAGAGGCATAAAAGTGGAGAACTAACACCCTCTCGAAAGGGTTGGGGGAAGTCACACACAGTCTTCTGCAGGACCAGTCTTTTACGTCTTAGCTAGGCAGAGAGTAGGGTGCTGCGGTATAGAGGCCAGCATCAGACAGATCAGGTGGATACCTGGATGGTGTATCTCCCTTGCTCCTGGTGGGGTGAGGGTTGGAAGCATACAGGGAATGAGACACACACGAGGTGACAAAACACATACAGAAGTAAGGAAACTCAGAATTCACACCCATATTAGTATAAATTCAGACATACAAAATCAGAATAACACATATGGGCATATATACACATGCATGCAGATACACAGAAATCCCATTGACACACAGAGACTAAGCAAACTTATTTGAGCATGCTCACCTGGATAAAACACACACCCGTGGAACCATGGAGAAACACTGTATCTGTAATACACATTCTCTGCAGCTCTAGCTCGACCTGTGTCCATCTACTCCTTCCCGCCAGACTGGCGCTATGCACTCTTCCTCTGATATGGATGCAGTGTCCGTGCTGTCTCCTCCTTTACCCAGGGATTTTAACACAACATAGCCAGGCCCAAGTTTAGACACACAGTAGGTGCCAAACAATGTGTTCACATGAGTAAATGCGGTATGTAGAAGTCAGCCTGCCAAAACTGTTAAGATTTTGGTTACAATAAAAGCACAACTATATGAATAATCATTTGTTGATTGACTGTATACTCAAAACTTAGCTGTTTATATAGTTTCATCCAACCTCCCCAACAATCTTATGGGGTGGATAAACATAATCGCCACTTAACAGATGAAGGAATCTAACAGTTTCAATTAATTTCCAAAAAGGTTCATGTTCACATTTTTTGTTTTTTTAACACTATGCTAGGAAGAGGGAGCAGCAAATGTCAGTGGAACCTGGAACAAGGAGAGGAGGCTTGTGATAGGAGATGGGATCAGGATGGTTACCTAGAGCCTTGGACAAACCCTTGGCTATAGTAAGTACTTAGGGCAGAGCAGGTGCAGTGGAAGAAAATAGACAATATGTAGGCAGATTTTACGCCTTTTTGCCTGAAAGATTTGCAGATGAACCACCCACTTATTCATTAATTATTAAGTCATTGACCAGTTTAAACAGTGGAGTAATAATGTGGGGTCTGTAGACCCAGTACTTGGGTTTCACTATACCCTTGGGAACGTGTCTTATTCCCTCTTCTATGAAAAGGGGGCAATTACTTAGTTTACTTCTAAGGAGAGGAGGGAAGGAGCAAATTCTGGACCTTTTCACGTGCTGTATAATTTCAGCCAGGAATGTCCTCTCCCTCTATCAAAAGTCTTCTTTGACCATGGTTTCCAGGTCTCCAAATCTGACTCTGTCCCTTCTTCCCCTAGGCTGCCACAGCTCCATAGTTTAACACTTCTGGAACCATCTTCTTCTCCCTTCTCCATCCCATCCAGTTTTAAATCCACCTTAGCGCCTTTATTTTGGCTACTCTTTTCTCCTCCCTCTAGGTTACCTTCTTTGGCATTCCAAACTCTTGCAGACACCAAATGGGAGAATCCTGTAAGGTGAGCATTTTCCAATATTTTGAAGTATTGTGTTCCTTAGTTTTTTGCTTAGTAATAAAGGCAAACAAGCTGTGCGGGGACTGTGGTGAGTTCTTTTCGTGAGGGACAGAAGCAGTTTCAGGTCTACAGATCTTCTTGGTTTCTCCAGGCCTGAATGCAAGCTCCGCAGGATTGTCTTCAGACTATGTCTCGTCCTAAGGGCCTGGTTCCCAGGTTCCTAATACTAGTGACTCCTAGTACCATTCCCCTTTTCCAGGGGTAGCCCAATTCCCAGAAATGGCCTTTGGACATTGTTTTGTAGTGGAATGTAGGTACCCCTTCCAGGAATGCCTCAAGATCAGAGACAGAACTGTTCCCATGAACTCCTCTGAACTGTTCTCGTGTTCATCAGCATGAATGGGTATACAAGGTCTTCAAGAGAGATTTTCTTTGTTGTGCATTGGTGAGTAGTAGAAAGTCAAATGCACATTCTTGGCAAATGTTCGCACTCAGTACTGTATTCATGTTTGTAACCCATGCCACCTTCATGGGCATATAACACACATTGTGATCACATGTCACACATTCAACACCTCCATTCTTATACATCTCTATGCAACATAAGCATCTCTCGTACACATGTGTAATTTTTTTTTAATTACAAAGTCAGATATACAGAGAGCAGGAGAGACAGAGAGGAAGATCTTCCGTCCGATGATTTGCTCCCCAAGTGAGCGCAACAGCTGATGCTATGCCAATCCGAAGCCAGGATCCAGGAACTTCTTCCGGGTATCCCACATGGGTGCAGGGTCCCAAGGCTTTGGGCCATCCTTGACTGCTTTCCCAGGCCACAAGCAGGGAGCTGGATGAGAAGTGGAGCTGCCGGGATTAGAACTGGCACCCATATGGGATCCCAGCACGTTCAAGACGAGGACTTTAGCCACTAGGCTACACTGCAGGGCCCCACATGTGTAATTTATGCACACACAGTTGAACTTGTGCTTTCTCATAAATACACACCTCTCACCCTGTAGGAGCACCTAGAATCCCTCACTCTGGCCCATTCTTCTGCAGATGATCAAGTACCCACTCATTTCTATAAATCACCAACTGGCCCATTTTTTCATAAGGGAAAGTCAACCCAGAGGAGTCACAGGAGAACACTGGCAAGACTCTTGGCTGTACAAATCTCCTGCTGGAACTTTCTCACACAGAGGGGTCTCCTTCACGCACAGCACCAAGTCCTGAACTCTGCTCCTGATGCTTAAGGTCATGTCAAAATCCATAGTGTTTGAGAAATGTCCAGCTTGCTACCTTCCTATGCCTGCTTCCTCCATCGTGAAAGGAAGATGACAGCAATAATGACCGTCATGGGCTTATCGTGGATTAAATTGGCTCATGCTATGGAAAGCTTCACAGCAAAGACTTTCTAAGGATTAGCTATTACCATAATTATTATGCAAATTCTTATGAGGCAGCTCATCATAAGAGCCCCAGCACATGGCAAATGAATGAACAAATGTTAAAAGTGGTGGCTTCTAGGCTTGTTCTCTTCCCTGTGGAGGCATGTGCTGTTCTGATTCTTCTTCCCTGTCCCCGTGATGTCTAGCACTATTATTAGTATACAGTAGGCGTTAAGTGTTGCACGTGCAAGCGCAAGAAATACCAATTCTGAATCTGTTCCCTCACTCAAAATGTCCTATCAGCCCTCCTCCACCTCCACTCCAGATGTCCAGACACAGCTCTAGTATACAGTAGACGCTAATAAGTGTTGAATGAACGAATGCTCAAGGAATATGTTTGGGTTTGTCTTGGGAGCTCTTTCCAGGCAGATGCTGCCTACAGTTTTCCTTGTCCTAGAGGCACATCTCAGGCTCTTCCTTGGCCTCCCCCTCCCACACTCTGCTGCTGCCTTGGAGCTATTTCTCGCCTGTAATTGCTGCTTTGGAGCTAGGCTGCTGGGAGTGGGTGGATTCAGGTGCTCGCACAACAGGGAGCCAGCAATGGCCAAGCTCTGCAGGGCAGGAGGCTAGGAGGAGGGGAGGATGGCAACTAACAAGCCCACAGACCAACCAAGAAAATCCTGCCAGGATTAGTAGCCAATCATCAAACTGGTAATACAGAGCTCTGCTGGGTGGCCCTAGACATCCAGGTTACCACAGGGAAAGGAGGCTGGAGCAAGACACTTGTTTTGACTTCTGCTAAGCTATGGCCACAGTGGAAAAATCACTAGGCTACAATGACTTTGCCCTGTTAGATGCAACTGCCTCACTCTAGGGAAGGGGACATATGGTTTTCTCTTGGTTAATGGTGCTTAGAAGAGCTCTCAGGTACTGCTTTATTGAGGTGTGGGAGATCAGTGGGTCAGAGTACAAGGGGCAGGGGTCAGGGTTTCTCTTCAGGGTCTTTGCAGGCAGGCACGTGTAGACAAAGCCGTTTCTCCTCCACCACCAGCTTCTGCCCTTGCAGCTCCTCGCATCTTGCAAGCGGTCTCCCCCAGAAGGTGACATTCTTCTCACCCTGACCTTCGACCAAGGTAACGGTGGGCCTGGGGTGTTGGGAGAAGGGGAAGGAGGTGAGAAGCTCATCAAAGGTGACAATACATTCAACAAACTCTTCATGAGCAATTGCTATCTGTTCAACACAATTTCTGCACCTTCCCTGTGCCTCATCTGCGTAGGGGAATGATAGGAATAATAATGGCATTAATTCCTAGCTCATCAGGCTAAGTAAGAATCAAAGAGTTGATTCTAGTAAAGTGCTCAGAGCAGCACCTGGCACACAGTATTTGCTCAATAAATGCTGGTGATTGTCACTTGGTGACATGAGCTAGCTTCTCTTACTTCAAAACTGATTCTTTCCCCCTGGGAGGGCGGGAAATCCAAGTGCTCTGTCCTGAAATTCAAGACTTTGTTGGACCCGAATCCCTGTCCCAAGGCAATAGCTTTCTCCCCTGCATTTACCCCAGCTCAATCTTAT